TTTGGAATCTTTTTTGTTCACAGAGTTTTGCCGTTTGAGCTCGTCTGCTCAGATTTCACTTTTCCGGACCTAGGGGGCCCGTTCAGGACATTTTTTGAGTTTTTCTATAAATAAGGGGCCTTTAAGTGAAAAATCAGATTTTTGCTCTCTTTCTCCTCTCTCTTGGCCAGATCTAGAGGCAGCTATGGCTGCCATCTTCTCTCTCTTCTTTTGAGCTTCTTCCTTTCAATGAAATACCTTGATGCCTTAGTGTTTATTGTTCCCCTCGGCGAAGCCTTCGATTCCAACCGATTGGAATCTCGTTTTGGCCATTTCTTGAGTTCGGGTTTGAAGTCAAGTTGTGTTTTTGATGGGGCTTCCTTGGGATTCATGGTCGTGGTGTTGTCCCCGACAAAACCTAGGAGTTTCGTCGGATTCAGAGCCGATTTATTTTGGTGGGAATTTGAGATTTCATCTCAAATGGAGGTAGGGAATGTTTTAGACTTTTGTGTGTGCTGTATTGAGTGTTTAGCATGACTATACAACTTATATATGTGCCTTGTATCAAATTTAGAAAGTTAGTTTCTTTGTATAAGATTTAAAATTTATGATGATATATAACTTTGATTTGAATTATGGCATAGTAGAAAATCTTGTTTTAACATGTTGGTTAACATATATTAAATTTGGATTAATTAAATAATAATTGCTCTTTTTAATTAATATTTATCTTTTGTGAAAGATTAAAGTTCATGGCCGTACCTTGCATGAAATTGAGTTGTGTTATGCTTCTAAATTAAGTTTTGGCATATTTATTAACATACTTTAATTTGAGAGCATTTGGTTGAGTTTGAAAATTTAGAGACTTTAATTAAGAGAATTAATTAAAATCTAATTTTGTGGTTTCATGGGCCTAATTAAGCTTTTGTGGGAATATATGTAATGACCATGATATGTCTATTAGCATATATTAAATTAGGGCCAATTGGAAATGATTTGAAATTTAGAGAGTTTAATTATTTTGATGTAATTAGATTCTATCTGATTTATTCATGGATTTAATCATGTGTTAGAAGGTACTTCTATTTTAAGATCATGGATTTAGACTTGTGAAGTATTCACTTGATTGTATTATATGCATTGAAGGGCATTGTTGTTAAATTTATATTCATGAGAGTATGTTTCTATATGAATATATTGTTGGTTAGTGATTTCGTAGCATTATGGATATGAAATGCTCATTATGCATAATTGAGAGTTATATTGCTAATTTGTTACTATGTAATAGTAATATGTATAAGTTATGAACTTATTTGGCTTATTTTGGAATCTTGGAACATTGTTGAGTTGAGATGGCTAGGGTTTGGCTCTAATACGGGGACGTGAGTCCTCTAAGTCATTGAGTACGGGTTAGTGCCCAGAATAACCATTGAGGTCTCGGCAGAATTTCGAGCGTGATGTCCAAGTCTTCTACTATTTGTTTTCGCATTCAATTCCAAGTTGACAATCATGTTTACCTTATTGACTTGTGGTTTTGACTATTGGCGATTTTGATGTTGTTAAGTACATCCATACTAAATTGATATATTTAGTTGATTTCACACTTTTAGATTTCTAGTTGATAACCTAGAGAATCTATATTTTGATGTGTGGTATTAGATATTCTAATTATACTAAATTATTATATTTAGTTGATGTTGCATTTTAGACTTCAAGTTGATAACCTTGAGAATCTATATGTTGTTACTTTGTGTAAGCATGACCTTATGTTGCTAAAATTTCATGAATGAGGTGATTGTTGCTAGAAATGATTTTAGGTAGCTAGGATGCTCCTTGAGTCTCACCTTTGACATAGACGTTAGGTGGAATGAACCACAATAATTAAATCATGCAAACTTGTAAAATATAGGTCGATGCATGCTCACTTCCTACGAGTAGCTTTATGTTACTCACCCCTACGATACTAGGGCATATTTCAGGTACAAAAATTAAAGTTGAGACTTCCATTATGCTTGGATGACTTGTGGACTTGAAGACTTCCATTTTTGTGAAGGTTGGCTCTGAATGCCAATTGTAGTCTTAATTGTCATATGTGTATATTTGATTCGAAACTTGTAATGTGTGGCTAAGCACACTTTTGATTCTCATTTTATGTATATGATATGAGACCAAGGGCCAAACTTCTTTCAGAATCACATTTATGTCATGGATGTTGATTTTTGCCCTTAATGAGATTACATGAAATTAATGCGTTTTAGTATGCTATTTTGCACCGGAGCGTGTATTGCGTATAAAATTCCTTATCTAGAATTCATTTAACATGTATGAAGTGTGGTCAAGGGCCAAACGGCATTTTGAAACCAGCTCATGATTTTAAATTTCAAGTTTTCATTCCAAACTTCGTTTTTGGCATTTTGGCCGTTGGGGGGTCATTTTTTGTATTGGCCATATTTTTGGACCATGGACCATTGTAGTACATCTTACTAGGTAAGTTACGTTTGCGTGCATAGTCGTTTCCGGGCAAAACTTCTTATTTGGTGAAATGAGCCTCTTACGGACTCATTTTACACTTTTGTTGTATAATCTGACCTAAGGGTATTTTGAAAATTTTCTTTGAGAAATAAATTCTGTTCTTTACATAGTCACTTAGAAAATGTGATTTTAGGGGGGATTTCTTCTTCGTATTTTTCCAGAAAATGCCATCTTGGCATCGGAAATCGCATCCGAAGTTCAGCTCTCAGTTTTTAAATTTAGTAGCTTTTTGGACCCTCTAGACCAGTTTTCTTGGGAGGGCATTTTGGGCATTTCACAGTGAGTTTTTTTTTATTTTTCTTACAATTAACGTAGAAAACTCGATTTTGAGGGGGGTTTCTTCTTTGAGTTTTTCCAGAAAATGCCATCTTGGCCCTTAAATTTTCATTTTTCCCGGAAAAACCCCTGCTGCCAGGTTTTTGGGTTGCACTTTACTGCCCTCTTCACATGTAAACGGTTACGAGGGGTTTCGTAACCGGTTACATGTGCATGGGCAGTGTTTTGGTCATAAACTTTGGCCTCCTAACCGGTTAGGAGACCTTCCTAACTGGTTAGATGTTCATGGGTTGCCTCTTTTGGACCGTGTTGCCCCTTCTTCTTCCGTTAGCCATATCTTCTTCATCCGGACTCCAAATCAAATGATTTTTGAGTCTAAATTCATTAATTTTTCATTGTCTTTCCAATGGTGTGCTTGGTGACGCCTACTTTTAAGCTGAAAATGACGATTTTGCCCCTAGGTGCATTCTTGTCCGTTTTTGAAATATTGCTTCCGCATTTGTTTTCTTTGGGTTCCGTGACCTCTTAGAGATGCGTGGTATCTTTTGAGACCATTGTTTTGTCTTTTACTTTTGCATTTCGGATCCGTTATCAGGTCATCTTTCGATTCATCACTGACACACCGAGTTGAAAAATTTGGGCCATCACAAATGCTTTTGAAGAGTAGCAACTCAAGATGATCTCTTTCATGAGCATAATTCTCAATGCACAGTGTTGTCATGGATTCAACTGATTTAAAATAGATGGCTCGAAAAAGAGAGGAGAGGTTTTCCAGGGTATATAATATTAATTTTTTTTTTTTTGGTAATTCAGTAATGCATAGATAAAAAAGATTAATTACATATATATATAAGGGGCATGCCCTAGGAGCCCAATCCAAAAACCAAGAAAGTGTAAACCCAAAATAAACCAAACAAAGCTCAAAAGAATACAAAGACAATTCATATTATCTAAAGATTGTGTCGTGTCAATGTAGTAATCGTATTGTGTAAGGATATTCTACTAAATATGTAAATTTAAATTCGACCCATTTAATAATCGTGTCAGGAATCCTCAACACCAACCCAGTCTGTTTATTAAACTGTTTATCAAAACGAAACATTTAATATTCAATCAAATAATAAATATATGAAAAAAATTGTCACAGTTTACCAAAATATTTAAAATAAGAAAAAAAATCATAAGGCATATGTTAAGGTTTATATTGAAATTACTTAACTATAATACCCCTAATTTTAAAAGGATAGTCTCGATATTTATTTATTTGTTTTAATTGTATTTTTAATTATTTAATTTTAATTGTATTTTTAATTATTTAATTGATTATTTGACTAATTGCTTATATGTTTAATTGAATTAAGTACTACTTGATTATTTGATTATGTATCTATGTATTATTTGTATTTGTTTATGTGTTAATTGTTTAATTAGATTATGTGCTTAAATGGTGTTTTGATTAATTGTAAATTAAATGTTTTCTTTTCTTTTATTATTTTCTTTTATACTTATGATTAGGACAGGAGGTTGGATGTGTATGGATTATAAATTCTCTTAACTTAGCAAGTTTGAAATCTAAAAAAACTAAAAACTGTTCTCTATTCTGATTTTCTGAAAACTGTAATTAGCAAGGCCATATTATCCTTTAATTTGGTCTTTTATTTCTTTCAGTCTTTACGCGTTTTAACGTACTTTTACTCTCGTTTTTTCTCAGAAGTGAGAGATTCATTTCCTTGCTATCGCATTCCTGTAAACTGTTTTGTGACTTATAGGACTATAAATCTAAAAGCATATCTTGCCAGAAAAGAATTACAAAGCGACAAAGTCTTTAAGTCAACCTATATGTAAAATTATGGAGTCGGTGTCTTGAAAGAGTTGGTTCAAGTCAGACCAGACGCTGCACAGTCTGAAAAGAGAGGTGTTGAATAACTTTTAATTTTTTCAGTTATTATTGTCTTAAGTACAACTCATTCGCTGAAATAAACTTAATTCCCTACTAGGACAAAAGTTATACTTTAGAGGCAGTAATACAACTTCACATACACTGAAATCTTATAGTCATTAATACAACATCGCATACACTGATACATATATATTATGCATCTGAGTTCTTAAGACATAGGGCATTAACAACACACCACTACATTATGCAAATGGAAATTCATATACTAAACATATACATAGGCCGAACACTAATGTGCCATACTGCCATCGGTCTATAACTGATTTCGGAGAGCTTCTCTGTCGCCATTGCTATTTACATAAACTGAATAAAAACTTCTTCTTTGTGGCCGTATAAATCTTCCAAGTCTGCTCAAAGGAGCCCTTCCTAGCAAACGGATAGTGTTCCCAAGCAGAAGCAACGCCATCAAGACACCCCATACTATGACTGCAACTTTAATTACATCAGTGAGTGCTGGTCTTTCCTTTATTGGTGTGACAACCACAATTGCCATAACATAAGTTACTGCCATTGCTGTCACTGTCAACCACATGATCACCATCAAAATCCACATAAAAATCCTCCGCTTGAAGGGCAATCCGCTTATAAGCAACAAGATTGTGCTCAAAGATGCAACAAAACCTATCGTATTAGCACGAAGGAAGATTGGGTATGAATCTGGATAGTTATATGCCATTATAGCTTCCCCTGCTCTGTGTGGACTCGTATTGTCTTGCCAAGCACCGCCTGGAGGGCTCACCCCAGCTTGGAAAGCCATTGTTGCGATAAGTGATGCCACCACAATTAATGCGTCGCGCTTCTTCTCCAGCCATTCGCCTTGATGTGGAACAATGCTTTTCGGAACATTTCTTTGATCATGTACATACAAGGGTGTACCATTAGGCCTAATGGTTCGATTTTCGTAACCAGATGCTAAAGCTATATCTTTGGCTCTCAGAGCTCCAGCTCCTTGAAGGCACTTTCCAATGTCGAAATCCTTCACATCTCTTTGACTTTGTTCTAAAATGTCTAATACTGTGAACCCATTTGCATTAATCGCGTTTACATCCATTCTGACACTCGAAAACAAATATTTTATCGTCTGCAAACATCAGTTAATATATTGTAACTTTTACAAATTGAAGAAATTTGAGTTTGCCTAATTTGGTTAAATTAAACAAGATGGGTAAAAGTATTTGACTTAATGCCCCAAAAGAATCACTTCAACTACATAGCAAAAATAATACTTCATTAAGGTCTCAACAGCCTTAATTGTCTGCACTATTAACATGATTAGACTACAGTATGCGATGATGTTGTCATATGCTATTGCTTGGGCCAAAAATTAATGAGGAAATATGATAATCATGAAATAACAATAGGTATAGGCTGTACACAATAGGAACACAAAAAGTAATTAGTCAGAAACTTAGTTTTGGCCATACCTCAATTTGTTTTTCCTTGACTGCAAGATGTAATATGGTGTTGCCGTGCTCATCTTTACAATTTGGAAATTCGTGATCATTCATGCTTTCCAGCAATAGCTTTAGTGCCTCTATTTGATTATGCTGCACACACACATGCAGGATGGTTGCACCCTGGTCCAATTTTGCTCGAGCCTCGTTGGATCTGGCTTGAACCAACTCCTTCAACACATTGACTCGGCCTCTCATGGCAGCGAGATGGAGGGGGTTTCTACCATCTCGATCACGAGCATGGCACATCTCAGAGTTGGCTAATAATAATGCTTTCACTATCTCAACGTGCCCTTTAGCCGATGCTAAGTGAAGAGGAGACATTCCTCGCGTATCTATTTCTCCGGCAAGCTCGGAATTTCGAGCTAGAATTTCTTTCACAAAATCTAAATGGCCACGCAATGCTGCAACATGCAAAGCAGTTTCCTTAAAACAATTCAGAACGACCCTGTCGAGAACAAGTCCATCTTCTTCTAGTAATTCATGCAGTGATGTTGTGTTCCCTTCCATTGCTGCTTCATAAAGTCTCTGCTGCATTCTCTCTAGCTCTCCCTCTCTCTGAGTAGATAGATACAGATATAAGCCAACTGCGTCTCCATATATACATATATATAATATAATCTATATATATATGTGTGTGTATATGTATATGTATATGTATATATATCTTGGTTGACCTTTCCTCTATATTTTCATAAGTTTTGTGGTTGTTGAGTCAATATATACATATACAATTACAAGTGACAAACAAGTGGCTATTGTAATTGATTGAACCAATAAGCAGGGTGGAAGTACCCAATGTATGTCACCTGAAGTAAGTAATAAAAAAATAAGGGCTATGGAGTATAACAAATCAAAAATATGAATGATGTGGGGAGAGTGGAATGTTTGAATTGATCTAGCTGGTGAAAGTGTTATGTTGGAATTGGTCGAACTTCGGTTCAAGCCTCATTTGGAGCTTCTGTTGGAATTTGTTATTCCTGATCTGGTATAAATCTTTATATGTTGTAAAGTTCTTTAAGCTACTCGATTCACAAGAAAAGGACCAAAAAAAAGCCTATACGATACAATATATTTAGATTTAAGACTAACTTTATTAGTTTTAATAATTATATGTATAATAAACCAATATTGAACAAGTTGTAACTGACAAACATTATTATTATATTTATTTTAAATAATTTTTTTTAGTAATTGACATAAATAGAATATAATATAAAATATAGAGACGCCCACTGAAATTTGCGGACACTTAGTTGAAAGTTTCCTTATTTTGGGACAACCACGCTCCCTTGTGAAATTTGTCATTCAAATAGAGCCTTAAAACATGAAAGTGTATTTTACCCTTCACTATTTTATTAATTTTAATTATAAAATATTAAAATACTTAAATAACAAAATTACCATCAATCCTACACAAACCAGATCCGGCACCACCACCACACCAAAATCACCATCATCCTCTCTCCAAAATTTTCTCACTCCAGAATTTTCTCTTTCTTCATCCTCCTCCTCCAACTCTGGTATCCCCTCAGCCTCCATCACAGCCCTCAGATCATCATCAGAGCTTTGACTAAACCCATTGACCACCTCTGTTTTCACTCCCATCAAACGGATTAAAAAAATCCCACCCAAAATCAAACTGTGGTGATGGCATCAGTGGGTCCTCACTGCCATAAAAATGCTCACGAACCTCTCCTCCTTCATCCTCATTATCATCCTCTTCTCTCTCTAGATTTTCTCTCTCTAGATTTGAGGAGTGAGAAGAAACCTTATTAACAAGTTACTGGGTTTTCGCTAAAAATGGGAAATTTCGGATAAAATTGAGCACAACCCATCTCCAACTCACTGCCAAACTTGATTTGGGGAATTATCTCTGATTCACTGCTAAATATGGATTTGGGGAATTGAGTTATGCTAAAAATGGGAAAATTTAGAATCACATTGAAGAAAAAGTTGGTTTTTGATGAACCCAACAAAGCCGGCCGCGGATCTAGAATTGGCGCCAGTCGTTGTAGAGGCAGAGGATGATGATGAAGCCGACGGTGGAGGAAAGGCAGTTCGCCACCGTCGTTGCTGCCGCCCATCGCCGCCTTGTGTGTGTATATATATATGTATCTATATATACACACATGTGTGTGTGTGTGTGACAGTATGTGTGACAGTGTGTGTGTGTGTGTGTGTGTGACAATGAATGTGTGTGTGTGTTTTGGTGTTGGGGCGGAGGAAGAGAGAGAACAGAGAGGGGGAAAGAAATGGTTTTTGATACGAGCTTAGAAAAGTCATTTTAATATTTAAATTGGTGGAGCCAAAGGTAAAAATGTTAATTTATTATTATTGGCGTGTCTTTGATATCTGTTTCAAGCTTAATGGGGTGTCATTATTTCTTTTGAAAAACATCAGGTGTGATGCTGTACTTTACCTTAAAATATGATTACATAATGGGCCTTTGACCAGTCGTTTCTGGGACAAAAGTAAAGCCCAAAAAAAAAGGCCGAAGGGACAAGCCCATTACTGTATTTGACAACATTTTTGTGGGACCTATTCTTAATAAAAGACAAACAATCAATTACGTATGCAGGTTCAAATTTCATCTTTTTAGAGTCAACATATATGTGGTGGTTAACAGCCAAATTTCATTGTTTGAAACCTTGAAATCACGTTCAGGATAGTTAGAAACTTTGCAATTTTTGTTGTTCTTGATCTAAACACACTGCAATCATTCTGGTATTTTTTTAGTAATTAATTTTATTTTTTCTTTATTTTTAAAGATAATTAAAATTTAAACTTCCTTCACCAAGGTGGACCTATTTATATGCAAAACCTACATCACAATGCAAACTCAAAAAAAAAAAAACAACGTTTAAAAAATTCATAGACTAAGCATGTATAAAGCTATAACACTATTACTAACCCAAAAACAAAAAGAAGCTAAAACACTATTAAATTTAAATTTTAGGACAATTTTTTTGTAATTACTGCATGTTATAAAATTATACCACTATGAAATTAAAAAAGAAAATGATAGAGTCACCGAATGATTTCTCCTAATAAGTTCCGAATCTGACTTGTTTTTGTCCACGTCATCTACTTAAACAGTTTCTAAAAACTAAGAGTAGTGATAGAGAAACTGAATGGCTATCCCCAAATTGTCACCGAATCTCACGTGTTAAACCACGTCAAATTCATTAAATATTCTTAAAGAGTGAAAATTTAAAATCGTCTCCCACCTCACGTGTCTTAGGTGGGTCTTACACCAATCATAATTGTCTTCAACTTTAGGACATGGGTTCCGTTTACGGATCTCCCAATTTTTTACCTATAATCTAAATCCAAACTCCTTTCCATCAATGATTTCAAATGGAAAAGAAAAAATGAAGTGCAAAAACTAAAAGAAAAATTGGGGAAAATCCTAATATAATGAAGGCCCTATTATCTTCTAAAATTGTTTCCCTTATCAGAAAACAAAAGTATAAAATTAGCAAATAGAATATACAACAAAAGCATATATGTATATATATACACATAGATAAAGACATAGATATATTATCCTACTTATAAAAATATATATATATTGAAACTCATCATCTGATTAACACACACTTCGGGACTGGACAATGGGCGCACCCCTTTTCTTTCTTTTTTTTCCTATCGATTTTTTTGTTTATTTTTTATTTTTCCTTTTGTTTGCATTTTTCGATTTTATTCGCATGAGTTTCCAAATTGTAAATCGTTGTCATTGTGTGCTACGATTAAAATTTAGAGTTTGATCCAGTTTGTGCAATTGAAGATGAAACCCACCCAAGTCACGTGAGGTGAGAGAGAATGTTAAATCCTACATGTCTTAAAAAACATATAATGAATCATGTCTATCATTCGGTAAAATTTCAATATTACCATTCAAATTTTCTATCATTATTCAAAAAATAATTATTTAACACTTGATAAATATAATTCGATGTTAATTCGAAAATTCTTTTTCGATTCTCCTACCATTACTCATTAAAAATATGCACTACTAATCCAAGTTCCCAAAACTACTCATTTTATTCATATTCATTACATACACACAAAGGTAACTAGTAAAACTCGGATCTCCAAAATACTATTTATCAACAGAAGCAAAAGGAACACAAAACAGACTATAAACAACACCCCACACACAAACCAACTAGTCTCACAGAAAAACAAACACGCGTATAAATCCTCAACCAGACTTGACCTCGATGGTCTTTGGCTGCTTGGGCTCGGGCGGAGGCTTCTTCTCAACAGTAATAGTAAGCACACCATCCTGAACAACAGCAGTGATTGCCTCCGGATTCGCATTCTCCGGCAGCGGGAACTTCCTCATCAACTTCCAAACCCTCCTTTCCATCCTCAAATACTTGACTCCCTCCTCTTCGTCCGTCTCTTTCTCTCTCTTCCTCTCCCCGCTCACCACCAGCACGTTGTTGTCTTCCAGTTCAACCTTGAGATCATTTTTCTGATCCCGGGCATGTCCACCACGAACTCGTAGTAGTCTGGGTGTTCTTTGATGTCGGCTGGTATGCTTGCCATGGCTTTGCAGTCGCGAACGTAGGCTCGAGATGGGTTGTGCTGCCGTGGTGACATTTCTTCAGAGAATTCGATTATGTCATGGAGGGTTGACGTTATATCTGTGTCGATACCAAAACTTCTTATATCCATGTCTAGATCGATCTCTCTCTTTAATTTTTGCCAAACACTAGGATATTTGTAACTGGGATTGATCGGAATGTATGTATAGTTTTTATTTATAGTGGCTTCACCGATTGAAGTACTGTAATATGTTTTGGAAAATTATAAATTTTCATACATATCAAAACTGACGTACGTGTCTTTCCTGACCATTTCGGAACAAGCCAGAATGCTCTCGTACAGGGCTTTCGCTTCCAGGTGGCTTCATTTAGCAAGCATGGTGTCTGACACATGACATGTGGCCATACACATGTCGGATGCAGTGAGATCAAATTTGAATCACTTTTCTAATTTTACTCACTATTGTATTGACAAAAAAAACCCTCAAAACAAACTTCCTACAAAAAAAATATATAACTATTTTTGTTTTTTTGAACTCATTTGCCTGACAAAATTTTTTATAAAAAGAATTTTTTTTTTTTTTTTTTTTTCTAATGGTATTTAAGGTTTGGATAGGGGCCTAGATTGATTTACAGACATTCTGCAATTTCTCTCCTTTCAAATGTGGTACACATAACTTGCCAAAGTGAGCTTCCAGGTTAGGATTTTACTTTTTTTTAATTTATTTTTTCAATTTGATGATGCTCATACGAGGAAATTCTTCCAAGAATTAGGGTTCGTATAGAACCCACACTTATATTTTGTAACCCATTACACACAATTTTTGAGTATAAACACTGGTGGAAGATATGCTCATGTGATTCTGTTGCATTTAGACACAGAGCACACACATTGGGTTGCATTGTGTATAGATTTGCAGGCTTGTCTTGTGTGAGTAGCTTCTCTTGTATAGCAATCCAAAAACAAAAGCTATGTTTAGGGATAACATTACTAAATCATACCAATTTGTGCCAGTAAATGGGAGGGAGGCAGAGGCTGTGAAATGGCTTGGAGGGTGTTTTTGAGGGAATAGAATTTGATAGGTGATGGCTTCCATTGAATCAAGTCGATCATTGACATTGATACTTGGTAGGTTAAGGTTTGTGGTATCACATTGGGGTGCAACAAGATTAGAGATCTGTCTAGGCCAAGCCCCCTTGGCCATTTTGAATAAGTTCATGTATTCTCATGTGTTTGTGAATTGATAGTCAAGTCAACCTGGTCTATGATTTGAGTTGAGTGGTCCACAGAGTAGCCAATTATCAAAGAAAACTATAGTGTCCTTCCCATTGATGCTGTGCTCGATAAGAATTGATTTTTTTTTTTTGGCCGAGTGCTATGTTGCCATAAAAACCCTTATTTTTTCATAATTTTAAAATTAATTCAACTAAACTTGTTTTTTGATTCCTTCAATAACATATGTAAAATCTACATCACACAACTCAGTACATGAACTGTAATATAACACTTCAAAACCGAAAAAACTCTTATTTTTTCATAATTTTTAAAATTAATTCAACTAAACTTGTTTTTAATTCCTTCAATAACATATGAAAATACATAACATATGTGAAATCTACATCACAGAGTTCAGTACATCAACAATATGTAATATAACAATTCAAAACCCTATGATCGCACTTTTAAATTATAATTTCTTGCCATTGTGCAAAAAAAAAAAATCCTATTAAATTATACTAACATATAAAGCATTTTCATTTAACAATACATGCATTAAAAATTACATTTTAACACATTTAACATTGCATTCATTAATTTACTATGTAAAAGTTGTTGACCAAAACAGGGCCAAATACATCTAATCGAAAATCTTTTTAAGCAAAACATGCAAGAAATTTCCTTTCCTACTCTCAATAATAGACGAGGAAAAAAATAAAAAATAAATAAATAATTAATTAATTATACTGACCTCCCTAAAGTTTCATCATTATACACTAACCTCTCTTCTTGTTTGTCAAATAACACTAACCTTCCTGGACATTTGTATACTC